GCTGCTGAGTAGGGATGTTCAGAGGTCAGGCACATGGGTGTACTTTGATTTCTGCGTTCATTAGGATGCAACCCCATCCCCTGGAGGACAGGAGGAAGGGGAACAGGTGAGTCCTGTTGGTAACAGCTCAGCCATTGGATCAGGGCCCCCAGGAAGCCCTCAGCCACCAGGTTCTGCCTGTGACAGGCTGTCTGGAGCCCACAGGGACAGGTCCCAGGAGAGGCCAGGGGAGGTGGTTGTGCTGCAGCTGGGGGAGCAGAAAGGCCAGCAAGGGGAGGAGGCCATGCCCTGGAGTCCCAGCGCCTGAGCCAGACAGGGAGGAGAGGGGCAGGGTCATGGTGCCCAGCAGGTGGCTCTGTGCCCCTGAGCTGATCCTCGGGCTACCCTGCTGGTTCTAATGCCTGCAAACAGGGTAGCTGCTGGCGTCTGGAGGAAGCCAGAAGTGCAAGATGTGCATTTCCTGGGAGGTCCCTGGTGGTCACAATATGAGGTTTACAGCTGGAAAAGGAGTAGCAGCATGTACACCTTGGGAGTTGGCAAACCATCTTCTTTGCACTGTTCAGGAACAGGCTGTGATGTTCCAAAGGACGCCCTGGCTCCTGTTCATGGGGAACACACCGATACTGACCACCTGGGTCAACAGTTGTACCAAGGACCTTACGCATCTGGACCTGCCAGTGCTTGGTCTGGTTGTCACATCTCCTAGGCCAGGATGGCCAGACTGAGGATTGCTTTGCAACCAAACACAGCAACAGGTTTTCACGCTGAACACTGATTTAAACTTCAGTACCAAAGTGTCCATCTCTCTGCAATGAAATGTTCACTGAACTCCTAAATAAATCCTTTTTGTGCAGGAAAATACCCAAAGTTGCCTCCTGGCTTGTATTCAGAAGCAGTTTTTGTTTTATCATTTTCTACATGTGCAGTTTTTCCTGGTTATGGTATTTTTGCTTCTAAGAGTTATTTCCAATCTTAAATTTCATTAGCTGTTGTCCTTTAGCATCTGATTTTATTTTTACTTCATTTGTAGTAACTTAAGATATTATTTCTCATGCAGTGGCATAAGTGATTTAGGCTGTATGAGCTGCACAATGTAGCTGAGGCCATCACAGATTACACACAGTGGTGGCAGATTGTTAAAATGCATCTTAAAATATTTGACCTCAGACTGCATTGTATAACTTTTATGATGTAATATGAGTGTACATGGAGTTGTGTGAGACATGTGCCTCAAAGCCGTGGCTCACACACCACTCCTCCTGGTCTGTGCAGGCAGAGCTGCTCACTGCACTTGCACACTTGCAGTGAAGAAGCGGCCACACCCCCCTGAGTGTGAACAAGTGGAGCTGTGGGATGGGGGGTCATGTAAGGCAGGGTCTGGGCTCCTCCTACTCCCTCAGAAAGTCACGTGACACAAATCTGACCCATCCAGACTTCTGGTGAAGACACAAATCTGTCTTCCAATCCAAAATTTCCTTCCTTTAGCCAATGGTGATGGCTGGAATCATCTTGTCTTTATTTATTTATTTTATTTTATTTTATTTTTTTGGTTTTTCTCCGGTACCGGGAATCGAACTCACGACCTTGTGCTTACCAGGCAGGCGCTTTTGCCGCTGAGCTAAATCCCTAGCCCCCATCTTGTCTTTAAAGTGTGGAGACGACATGGTTAGAGAGAAACCGATCTCAGAAAAGCTCAAATTTGTCTAAGATTATTCCAGCTCCTAACAACAGAAGCCACAGACTGGACCCAGAATCTTCTCATCTCCCAGGCACTCCAGAAAGTCTCCAGGGGCACCGGGGCAGAAGTGTGAGTCCCCTGCAGCTGCCCAGCACACCACCTGACTCCACACAGCGGTGGCCGGCATGGGCTGCAGCCTGGGCTGAGTCCTCAGTCCTGCAGATTCTCTTTGACGCACACGCTGGCAAACTCTCAGTGTGAGATGGACAGGGATCTTGCACATCGAATGATGAAGGATCGCGTTTAAAGCTGGCTGCTGTTACTGCTATCACTCCAATCCCAGTGACCTGGGTAGAAACCTTCGTGCTGGGCTTTAACTTGAATAGTTTTGCTTTTTGGACATTTTGGCATAACGTCCCCAGGGTAGGGAGGCTAGGTAGACAGCATGGCTCGAGAGGGTCTCAGACCCAGGAATTCCTGCAGAGCGGTCCAGTGTGGCAGCAGCCTGAAGCCATACGTGGCTTTACTCTGTCACCTGATTTGCTGATGCCCACAGATGAACACTTAATCCTTTAAACCTGCAGCCTTTACTCCCTTCAAAGAATACTGCAAACACAACTTGGTTTCTGTTGTAACTACAGGGTGCAGGCATCCTGCTGTCCCCAAGGATCTTCATTTTCCAATAGGTACAGGGCCCTGTAGAGGCCAGAGCGAGGGGAACAGGGCCATGCTGGTCACAGAGGCCAAAGTTTTATTTGGGGGGAACATAACCACCTGTCTGCAAGAAGTTATTGCAGCTATTGACAGGTTGCCAGAGGGTGCATTTAAACAGTGCATCCCGCAAAGCTGTTCAGACATCAGCTGCCATTGACAAGCTAGAGGCACAGCTTTCATTTAAAGTCAGCTGCAGAGGTGTGCAGGGTGGGAGGGGCCCTGCAGGGAGGATGTCCCCTCCCTTGGGCTCTGGTGGCCTTCCCCATGCACTATGTGCCTCTCCAGCTAGCAGAAGTCACATTGGATGCCAAGCCCTAGCAAGCAAAGGGCCTATCAGTGTGTCCTGTGTGATGACCCAAGGGTTCCTCATTAATAAGCGAGACTGCAGTGCTGAGCCGGGGCCTCAGAACAGCAACGCACAGGAAAGCTCTCTCCTCTCTTTATAGTAACAGCTCGAGAAGCAAAGCTGACGAGAACCATGAGTGGAGCGCAGGGCAGCTCTTCTACGTCAATGCTAAATGTGGAAGGAATTAATTGCTCGTGATCTGTGCATCGAGTGCTAAAGTTTTCACCAAGAAGAAAAGTACTTCGGCTTAGCAGGTTTATCTGGAGCCTCACAAGCTCCCAAACCCACTAAAGGGTCAGAGCTGCAGCTAGCACAGGGTCTGCACTCTGCCTTCTTCTACCCAGCAGGTGTCCTTTTCTATCCCCAAATAAAATGAGGGGGCCTTCACTTTTAACATCGCCTACATTCCAAGGGATGATTTAGCAATGGTTATGTCCAGGGAATAGCGTGCCGAGGCCCTGGGGTCCATCCCAAAGAGACAAACAGCAAAACAACCGCAACAAACAGCAGGCATCTGATGGTTAGGGGAAGTGGAATGAGCTATCATCCTCTGGAGAGACAGGAGAACGCATGTACAAGGGAAGTGAGTGAGGAATCAATGTGATTTGTTGTTTTTAATTAATTAATTTCCTTGGGTACGGACAAACTCTAATTGTGCATGTCTGTGGGGTACACAGTGGTGCTGTGACTATGCACAGAATGTGGCAGGACTGAACCAGGCCGTGACAGCCGGTACCTCTCCCCCAGACGTTTTTGGAAAGAGGTCTGGCATTGCTCATCAAACATGGCCTCCTCCCTCCTGCGCGGTGGCTGGGTGCCGGCCAGGGTGCAGTGCACCCTCCTCGCTACCTTTGTGCACCAGGGAAATTTTCCATCATAAAAAGTTTAAAAATAGCTTTTCCCCCTTTTCCCTTCACTGAACATCAGGAAGGCTCCGATTTCAGGCAGGGGAGGGCAGGGGGAGCAGCACCTAATCAGCCCAGCCCCCTTGCTCTGGGCCAGGCCAAGCCTCACATCCCACAGGCCTGGCACCTGTGGTCCATCTCCAAAGACCAGAGCACCACGGGAGCACACAGCCTGCTGCTGGTCAGCAGAGGCTCAGCCCTCTCCAGAACCCACAGACCTTGGGCTTGGCAGGGACTCTTTGAGGACCCTGCCCTGCACCAACGAGGCCGCCCAATCACGGCCCCTCAGCAGAAAAAGTTGGCTTTCCAGGTTTGTTTTGAGGCTGTCACCCCCGGGGTGCAGGTCTGTGCAACTGCCCCCCTCCTCGTGGGCTGGGGCCAAAAACGCCAGCCTGCAGGAGGGAGCTCGGCAGACACAGACGCGCGTGCCCCAAGGCCTTATTCTCCCAGAAAAAGGAGCCAGCCGCCCTCACCAGGTCCCCCAACTAGCCAAACCCCTTCCAGCGTCTGCTGCCTGACTCCGGCCTGGCTGGGAAGGTGCGGGCGCCCAGTCCCGCGGTGACAACGCGGCGGCGCATCTCTCACTGTAGGAGGCTGCGCACCCTGGAGTCTGAGTGCCCAGCACCCGGGCTTCTGCACGCACTGGGACCCCAGGAAATGAGGGCGACCGGTAGACCCTTTCTTCGACCCTCCGCAGGCTCCCCAAAGCGCCTACCCAGTGGAGTCTGCGGAGGCGCGCACCCAGAGCTCCTTTCCCTCGGAGAAGGGGCTGCAACTCCTGCGCGACCCTTGGAGAGCGCAGCGGGGCTGGACGGGAGCTCCTGCGCCTCCGCTCCTCCCCATCCCGGCTCCTAGGCTGAGGGCTGTCGCCTAGCGAGGCGCACAGCTCGCGACAGAGGCGGCGAGGGCTCCGAGTCCCGGCCTGCGTCCCGGGGCCGCCAGGAGCCCCAGCCGCGCTCGCTCTCGATTCACCTCCTCACCCTTCTGCTCGCGAACCAGGTCCCCTCCCTCCCCGTCCCCTTGGCTCCGGTCCCCAACCCCGCGATTACTGCTCTCCAGGCTACGGTCTCCCGGGGTCACGCGGGGACCTGAGCCTCGCGGCCCGCCGTGCGCCCCCGCCACATTGCGCTGCTGGACACTGGAACTGAGGACAGCCGAGCCCCCTGGACACCCCCCCCCCAACAGGCTCTGGATTGGCGCGGTTACCCCACCGTGGCGACCGCCGGACCCACCGGGCTCCGCGCTCCCTGGGCTGCGCGCTCCCGAGGCGGACCGAGCAGGGAAACCTCCATGTCCCCCGCGTCCCCAGCGCCCCTCGCGCCCACCACCCCAGCCAACCCCTGGGAAGGGGACTCACCTTCGGGACAAGGTGACCCGCACTCAGGCGGCCCCGCGTCTCCCGGGCGGGCGCTCGTGCGGGGCGGTGCGGGGCGCGTGGCGGCGCCCGCCTCCTTTGGCTCTTGGCGTTCAGGTCCCTCTCGTCCCTCTCCTCACCCCCTCTCTAGTCCCTTTCCTGCCCCTCCTCCTCCTCCTCCTTCCCTCCTCCTCGTCCCTCCTCCTCCTCCTCCTCTTCCTCCTCCT